ATGTCCCGTCCATTGTTGGTGTATGACGTTACTAAGTAAATGTCCCGTCCATTGTTGGTGTATGACGTTATTAAGTAAATGTCCCGTCCATTGTTGGTGTATGACGTCACTAAGTTAATGTCCCGTCCATTGTTGGTGTATAACGTTATTAAGTTAATGTCCCGTCCATTGTTGGTGTATGACGTCACTAAGTAAATGTCCCGCCCATTGTTGGTGTATGACGTTACTAAGTAAACGTCCCGTCCATTGATGGTGTATGACGTTACTAAGTATATGTCCCGTCCATTGTTGTTGTATGACGTTACAAAGTAAATGTCCCGTCCATTGTTGGTGTATGACGTTATTAAGTAAACGTCCCGTCCATTGTTGGTGTATGACGTTAGGTGTATGACACCGACAGTGGGTGAACTACGTGTCTCCATTTCCTCGCCAAGAGACGTCACATACGAAGTGCGCTCAATTTATTGAACTTTTATTTTAATCGCAAATAACAATTTTACAGTTGTAAATCATTCTATGTGTGTGTTAGATACAGGACGATATGGCTTTATACAATTAAAACGTCAACTTCAATAATTTAGGTTATGTATAAAACTATTTCTCCTTTCGTCGGTAAATGGGGCCTACTTCGGGTTTTGCAAAATGCTGACGATCAGCTTACGATGGCAGATGGCAAACAAACTATGATGAAGTTAAACAATGGTTATATGTCACCTGGTAAATCAAATCTGATTGATATCCCTTCATATAAGATTAAGAATACAGAGGCTTGCAAAAATTATGAAAAAAAAAAAAAAAAAAATCGTCTCATAGATCTTATATGAAGGGAAACTCATGACATCTTCTCTTTACATGTTTCTTTTATGCATTTGAATTTAATAAGCAAGACATTTTAGTATTAACATTATAAAATACGTTGCAGTATTATAATATGTTAGAAGTTATAGCATTATTATATATAAGATGTCCTTGTATTATTTAGACGCTCTAGTATTATCATATATAAGATTGTCTAGTATTATATATCCGACGTTCTTGACGGATTTTTCTGGTCTGTTATCATATTTCAGACAAGGGGAATAATTTTGCATCGTTTCCAGAAAATATGATTTGAGTATAAATAATTGCTAAAATATTATATAAAAAAAAAGATATAAACAGGAAATATTACTTAATAAAAAAAAGATTGATCTATGAATATGAAGTAGATAAATAATTTATCAATGAATTTCAAGCATGCACAAAAAAAAGACTTCATAGGTTATCAACCCGCACAGTGTTAAATGAAAACGTACAAACAGAATACCACCATGTGTTCCGGAAGGGGAACAGCCTTTTGCTGCAGACACAACACCATTTATGTAAAGCTTGATAAAATCCAAGTAATGTCATGTCCTTAAGGCAAGAATCAGGGCAGTGATAACGAAACAACAAACATTAATGAGCATTATCAATAAACATTCTTTATATAGCACAAAGAATACTTCCAATGAGATCATGATGATGACCTCAACACTTTTCATCAACCTTCACCTCTCCAAATCGTGCGTTTGTCCGTCATTGTGGAAATCATAATATTCCAGACAAGCTCTTGAACACTTAATCAACTGAGACATGTAAACAGCAATGGGGAAGCAGTAATGTTACCATCAAGAAAGAGAAATTTCATGATCGCAAAATCATATATTTATGTTTGAGTTAAAAAAAAATGACGACCAAGATTAGATTTTTAAATGGTATCTTGTATCTAACCAATTAATTCACGGATGATTACAAATGCATTATGAGTTTATATTTATTACCATTCTGACAGTAGTTATATATTACCTTTATTTCACACAGTTTACCTGTGCTGCTGCGGGAGGGGCTCTCGTCTCATTTAACAGTCCATCGGAGTTATGGTGGGTCAAGAGATACGCCAGAAGATTACGCCGTAAGTATTTTTACGATTCAAGTTACTATGATTTCCATTCCCATTGAACAAGTTACAGATATAGAATTTACCAAACACGTAGCTTATGTACAGACACATTTTGTATATAATTTCTTAATGTTACCGTTTACTTTTTTTCAGATGAGAGTTCTCCTTGATTGATAATTACTGTGAAAAATAACAAATGGTCATCTGAACACTTACATAATTCCACTGAAACGTTAAATTTATTTAAAGTAACCCACAATAACTAGATATAACCATTTGTATGGTTACATTAAACACTGCTCTGTAGAAATTGTATAGAATATGTAAAATGCCCACGTAAATCTGCGTCACGAGGGTTTGACCTACGCCAGAATAACAAATCGTTGGCGGACTATTCGGAATGGGTGGTAGGATATAACCTATTTTCTTGACGGGAAGGGGTTCTAAATGAGCTAAAATGTCCATGTTTTTTTAAAGAACAATAATAATTATATGTAACAGGCTTTTTATTAGCCCCTTAATCGTATGTTTTAAACTCCCCAAGTGTCGTTTATATTTGATATGTGTTTTTACTCCTAAATTTCTGGGGGAAATATTATTTTACAAATGTACTTCTGAAAGAGCTTAATACCATGGATCAACTGAAATGTCTGTTTAAGAAGCATACCCCCTTGTTAATGCATTTCCATTATAACATTGTGTCTCTTACCACGTGTCTTACGAGTGCCTTACATACATGTCTTTAGGGGGAGATTTCTGGCTCGGCGGAAATGACATCAGACAAGAGGGAAAGTGGGTGTGGAATCCGACTAACGGATTCCCTGTCAACAGAGACTGTACAGACTGGGCCAGAGGGGAACCAAACAGCTATAGAGGTAGAAACCAGGACTGTATGCTGATGTGGGCCAGGAAGGACTTCCGCTGGGACGACGACGAGTGCCACCTTCAAAGGTCGTTCATTTGTGAAAGATTCGTGGTAAATATATTTTCCGGATTAGTTCGATTGAAATACTTTTGGTAATCTGTCATTGATTAGTACGATTTTGTTTGTGGTTTTTGCGATAAGTTAAAAAAGAAAACACACACAACTCATACACATACAACTCATAAAAACAAAGCACAGGCTTAATTAATGGACCGAAACCAGGTGCTTCGATATCAAGAAAAATGTTAAGGTTCCGACTTCCTTGCTCCGGGAACCATAGCTTATTGTTCGAACGATCTATATTTTCGATAGTTTATGACATCTACTATAGAGGTATGGTTTCAAGTTTATTAAACACTTTCATTAGCTGTCTGTGATGAGGTCAGTAAAAACCATATTTTTCAACTACACATAATTTATGTACACCATCTTTTTTTTCGAAACGATTTATTTATTTGTATAATTTCGTACTTGTTATTTTTGAAAATACAGCAATTCTTACGGAATTAACCATGATGCTGTTTTAGTTTTCAGAAAAGGTGTGCAGATGTCGGGTGTAGGAGGTTGACACGCTCACAGTATATATCAAGTACGTGTATAGGCAGAGTCACGGGATGTAACAGTAGAACAATAAAGAGTCCTGAAGACATTATGTACTCTTCTGTGTTTTCTTTTTGTCTGTTCAAGTCACTTTAGATTAACCATTTCATATCAGTTATATAGAGTATTAGAATTGATCAACCAAGCTAGAACGAGTCTTCCTAAATCACACACTTTCCGGTTGATGTTTTATATGCCTATTTCCACCATTTGTTCAGCTTTTTGTGCAACATTATATCATACATTTTTTTACCTTGGTAAAATCTGGAATAAAGTATTAGTTTTCCATTCAATACGATATATCAGTCTGGAAATATTATCAGTTTGGAGATAAACAATGTACGCATTGTTATTCATTTCCTGACAACGGGACCAGTCGGTCTTGAAACGTTGTGACACGTTTAATACATACATTATTTGTGTAAAAAGTAAAAATTTGATATTATTCGCTTTACATATAATGCAGATGACTGTATATTGAATATCATTGTGATTGAAATGGTATGGTTTCTGCCTGGCTTTGCAATAAGTTTCTTTCTAACACCCTAATTATAATAACAGACAAGTCTTATGTCCATTATCACTTAGTGCTAGCTTTGAATCTGAAAAGTCAGAAAGCCACAAATTGGCCGTTATATAGTGCAACATGACTTCCATCCTATATAAAATACATAACAATGTAACTGTTTTCTTTTTAATTCACGGACGGGTCATCGGACAAGTCTTACTGATATATCAAGTTCGAGAACGCAATATTCCTTGTTTATTCCATATTCAGGTTTCAGTTTTGCCACGGACTTAGATCTAACTCCACGCTTTTGCTGAACATTTTAACCTTTTCCTTTGACAGCGTTGATTATATTGCTCAATTCTTCCATAGAAAAATTGGACTCGTCATCCGTTGTCATGACCACGGTATTCCTTCGATAATACGCAGTCGGTTATAATTTGGCTATTGCATCACGTGACCTGAAATCGCTGGACAGAGGTCGAATTTACACTTGATGAACTCATGAACATTTGTTGCTGTTTAAAACCAAAAGTGAGCAATGTTTAATCTTATTTACATCTTTATACCAAACGAGTTAATAACCGTAGTTTCCAAATGTTAGAAATGTTAGAAGCGTCTTCTGTGTGTTTGTTAAATGTTTGGTGCGTACATTTCCTGTTAGAACTACATAGCTACACTGAACGGTCCCTAGAGCGGGTTGGGTGACCGGTTCGCTGGAGTAAAGAGTTTGCGAACACTAAGCTTAGTCTTATCATCATACAGTGTAGTAACGTTATAAATACTATGAGATAATATAAAATATACGTAAAGATGTATCTGCCTTTTAGATTGACATTATAATCCCACTTAACGTGTATAAGAGGTTGTGACCTATGCATAAATACATTTTCCTCGTAACCTGCCGGACCATAATTAGGATGTCGTGGATTCATTATGCAGCGTAATTAACTAATAATTTAGATAAAATGACATTGTTTTTCCATTTAAGATAAACATCACACATATAATGTTGGTGATCATGATTTGTTACTTTTTCAAGTCAATTTTTATCACCATCGATGTTGTGATAAATCGTAGAACACTGGACACTCATTCCTCCCTCGTAAACATAACATTTGTCGACGTATTTCGGTACTTTCTACTGTTAAGATCAACCTTAAAATTTGCATGCAGCAAGGTAAGTGCATCAAAATTATAATTCGGAATAAAATAAAAATTAAATCACAAATTCCTGGGCATGCGAAAACCTCCCTGGACACTCCCTAGACACTCATTCCTCCCTGGATACTCATTAGGCAGCTTCGCTACGATCCGGTATGTACTCTTCACAGGGTGGAGAGTAAGAAAACCGGATCGGACCGGGAGAAGAAGAATAGAAGAAGAAGAAGAAGAAGAAGAAGAAGAAGAAGAAGAAGAAGAAGAAGAGGAAGAAGAAAAGAGAAAGAAGAAGAGAAGAAGAAGAAGAAGAAGAAGAAGAAGAAGAAGAAGAAGAAGAAGAAGAATTAACTAATTACTTTATCTCATTTGTACATTGTTGTGTATTGTAAGCGGCTTGATGCTCCATTTGGAATCGAAAGCCGTGCATAAGAATGCAAACATGAAATTCACTTTTAATAGATATCGTTTGACAAGAACAGACATTTAACACTTTTCATCATAACTATGAACAACACATATCTTCTGTTGTCGCTTACTTTATTCGGTATTTAAAAAAAAGTGTCTGGCGGCGCTTGTTGTTGGTTGAAGACGCTTTTAAGAATGACACAAAAATAACTAAACTACATTATCTACTATAAGAAAATACCAGGAACTTGTATTTAAACAAAATACCTGTCGCTGTTTGTTACATATTTTATACAGCAACACCCCCTAAAAGAAACATAATCAAACGCGCCTTTTACCAAATATGTTGTTGTACGAACGCACATAGTTTTGTCAACATCCAGTAGCTTGGAAGAAATGGTGAATTTATTATGTGAATCCCGATCAGGTATGCTTGGTTTGTAGATGGTATCACGTAACATAAAAAATATCTACTTATATGCAGAATGGTGCGTATGCTATGCAATATGTAACATAATGATTTGAGCTCATTTCTTTCCCCACGAGGTAAATCACTTCCACTAGTACTGTCACATGGTTTTGATTGTTGATACGCGTGCAACGGTTGGGATATTTACCGAAATGGACCGGAATGGAGTTGATTTACCGAAATGGAGGGAAATGGACTTTAAATTTGCATTATTTCAAGAAAATGGACCCTAATTCACATTCTTCATCACCAACTGGAGTCATGTGTAGAAGATTGGGCGTTTATTTTGTTTACATCTATTTTAAATTAATTTTTCAAAATAACACAATTCACGGCACGATTTTCGTTACCGAAATGGAGGGCAATGGGCCTTAAATTGGCATTATTTCGAGAGAATGGACCCATATATGCATTCTTTATAACCCAATAGAGCTATATGTAATAGATAGGTAGTAAAATTAGACTGGAAATATTTTTTATTTATCATTTAAAGACGCGCAATAGCCGAGATTCACGGTACGATTTTCGTTGCCGCTGTATCACCGAAACGGAGGGATATGGACCTTAAATACGCTCAATTTCAAGAGAATGGACCAAAATATACTTTCTTTGTCATTCATTGGAGATATATGTAAAATATCGAAGGTTTACCTGTCCTGGAAGTATTTTAAATATTTTTTTCTAAATTTGGGAAATGATATTGACAATATAGACAGAAGTAAAAAAGGAGACGGAAAGCGGAAAATCCGGATTTATTAGTTTTTCATGCATTTTTTTTTTCAAAGATTCATATTTAAGTGTGACAATTTCAAGATATCAAATGCTGCATATTTCTTTGATCTTTGACAAAATAAAAATATTGAAGGAATAGCTAGGATTATTTTGGGGGTTATACGGTATTATACAATGTAACTACAACAACAATTCTAGTTATTCCTTATATTTTAACTAAAAATAGTTTTTAATTCATGGTTATAGAATATTTATTCATTACTGATAAAAACAAAATAATTCGGCACTTAAGTTACTTAAGAGAGATGACCATCATACAGAAAAAGGAAAAATGTTACAATTGACACATAATAAAGTTTAGGTTAATACATCATTTGTAGTATACAAATTCTGAATATACAAGTTAAAGATTTTATGCAATGAATTCAGCTCATGCTTTACATTTCCTCCAATGAGGATATGAAACAGATCATAATCAGACATGAAATGTAAGTACACACTAAACATTATGTATTTTATATTTATAATATCACACCATAAATTATCTCTTTCCTGTATAATCACATTGTAAACTATATTGGTTGCTATATCACAGTACATAAAGCCACATTTATGACAAAATTATTGACCCTCACACTAGTTACACATTGCGATATACCATCATCACTTTTGTTGTTGTCTATTTTTTTTAGGTTATACAATCATATATAACATGAAATTGTTTACAGAGAACTCCAATATCTTCTCGTATCAAGTGTT